TGGGGCAGGGCCGAGGCTGGGGACAGAGGCCGGCTACGGCGACATGGCCGGGGCGGGCGCTCTCCCGGGACTGGGACTGGGCTCGCCGCTCTGGGTGTTGGAGCGAGCGCGCTTTCCTTTTTTACCTCGGGGAGATATTTGCGGAATCCCTGACAGGGAACATGCTGTGTGAACTCGGACACAAGTGGTGTAACCCGACTCCGGGTGGGACTGGGCTGTCACCCTCCCGAAGCCTGTCCGGCCCAAGTGCTAGCAGTTAACCCTTCTGGGAACTGAGGGGGGCTGACCCCCTAGGCGCTTCCCGGAAATGGGGCAGGGGAGTCCTTCACGGTGGCAATAAAGCCCAAAGGAACCTGAGCAGAGAAATGAGGTTGCTATGGCAAAGAGCACGTGTAGACAACTTGGCCCTCACAGGGGTGACCAGGGGGCTCACACTGTTTCTTTTCTGAGAGGTGCAGATCTTAAGAGCTACTACAGGGCAGTCTCTGATTCCCTCTGGTGATCCGGAGCTCTCCCCTGAGCTCTTCCAGTTTTTCTCTCGGTGGTTTTCAACCTCAGAGGCACTTTACGCGAATGGACTTTCTCCCACGCTCCTCCCCGAGTGGACTCCATGGCCACCCTCAAAAAGAGAGCAAACCTTCGAGCTGGGTGGAACCCTCACAAACCGTACACCGGTCCCAACGGTGCACTAACAGGGCAGCAGTGGGCTCCTCCTCCCCGCAAGATGGGGAGAAGCGAGAGGGTGGGAGGGTCGAGGGAGGGCCCGTCATCCTGGAGCCCGGAGATTCAGCCAGTCACTCTCAGCTCTGGCACCTGCCGCGTGAGTCGGCCCTGGTCACCAGATCCTGCTCACAGAGCCATTTAAGACCCGTGAGTGACAGCTGCAACATTAGCAGGAAGTATTATTTATACCACATCACGTGGGACACTAAAGGTGTCTCAGAGCCAACCGTGCAGCACAGATAAGCACAGTTCAGTAATACCATGTTGGAAAAATTAGTATGTACATCCAAAGTGAAGCAAACTTTAAAGTTTTACACTGAAATTAGGCACTGCCTTGCCCAATCTACATGCTTTTCATTTTTCCAATTTTTTCTCAAACCTGTATCATGATTCCAGTCAACACTTCTCAGTACCTGCCGGGAGGAATAATGCGGGTAGGATAAAGGATAAAACGACCCCAGACCTCAAAAATGTGGGCAGCCAGCCAGCTGATCACTACACGTTTAAGAAGTATTTCCCACTTCCAACCTGTGTTTTTCAAACTTTTTGCATTTTATATTGCAGTCCAGCGCGCGCGCGCGTACACACACGCACACACACACACACACACACACGCACACACACGCACACACCCCATATGCCCACTCAACTGAAACAATCATTTAACAAAGTAATTGTTACCACCATCAGGTGTGGTGTAAGCTGAGAGCTTCTGGTCTGTTTCTCTCTCTGGGAGGGATGTACTTAACTGACTTCATGGATGGCTGATACATTTTGAGGAACATGGATTCTACAGGAACCCAGAAGAAAGGGTGAACAAATCCTAGTGGGCTGATAGTGGAGAAAGCTTCATCAGTGGTTGAACGAAAGACAGAAAAAGTTTGAGTGGCTCAAGTGGCCTCAGGAGAACAGAATTAGAACTGGGTCTTCTTCCAAATAGATTTGACTTGCAACTACGAAACACATTTCTTCCCCTACAAAGTTGATAACTTAAGCCAAAGTATTTCCAATTTTCAAAAACAAATCCACACATTCACAGTTAATTTAGCTATCTTCATCTAAATTTTACTTTTAGAATAAATGAATATCATGTAAGCTTAAAGAGAGTGGGAAGAAAAATCTAAATTAAAACTGAAAAAAAAAAAACAACTCTGAGCCAGCGTGACAGTGTTCATCTGTAGTCCCAAGCTACTCAGGAGGCTGAGAGAAGAGGACCTCCAGAGCCCAGAAGGTGGAGACCAGCCTAGAAAACACAGGGATGTTCCATTGACAAAAATAAAAATATAAATAAAAAATCTTTTCTGGTTTCATCTCTGTTAGCTGAGTGACCTGGAGGTATACATCTTTGGAAATGGAACTATACTCATTTATATAAAGAAATGGTTGAAAATAGGATAATTTTTAAGGCCCTTTCCTGATTAAAGTTCTTAGAGGGATAACCCAGTTATTATCACTTACATTGTTCTCAAGAGGGGGCCGGGGTGCTGCATCCTAGATTAGTATTTAATCTTTGCTTGACTACTTGGAAATAAAACTGCATAAGAATGCAAGATATTCTTATCCAATCTAGATTTTTCTACATATTTATGTCTTGTTTTCCTCTATGCCTATGATATTTTGTCCTCCTCCCATCATTCTGGGCCCCTTTCTGTGTTTTTCAACCAGCTTCTTAAAGCCAGTGTTTGAATGATGGTAAGTGCTTACCTTCTGCTTTCTTTTCACATTTTCTCCCTGAGAGCTTTTTACTCACTTTTTAGTACTATAACTTTTACCTCCCAAGTAACCCTCAAGTCTCTAAGATTAGCCTTGTCACCCAAGATCTATGTCTGTATGTCCAATTCTTTACTAGAAAGCTCAACTTGAATGTCTCATCCTCACAAACTTCATAGCAAACACCTTTTCAATCGTCTCTATCAGATTTACTAGAATCCACCTCAACCATCTGTTCTCCAGGTTATAGCCAAAGCCATGGTTTCAAAACTTAAATATAGCCTGTTATTTCCCTTACTTAAAACTCTTCATAGCCATCTCATCGCTTTTAGAGTAAAAGGAAAATTCCATCACTTGTCTAAGATATCTGCTTTTTTTGTTTTTGTTTTTGTTTTCAAATCTCAGTTCAAATTCCATCCAAGCAAAGCCTCCCTGCTACCCTAGTCGTCTTCCTCTTCTGAATTCCTTCTGAGGCAGATAGCAACATTACCCAGTGTGTATATGCTGCCTTTTGGTATTGCTTTTGTTACCCTGGAGGATTATTTACACTGTTTGGCTATATGATGTTCCGTGTGTTTGACCTCCCCCCTAGTCTAAAGCTGTTCCTGAAAGGGCCAGTGATTTATATGTCTTCCTCTGCTCCTGCGGCTTCCACAACAGCCAGAGACAGCTCTGCAGTCATGGAACCTGTCGCAGCCTCAATCATCTCCTCAAACAGACCAGAGTATTTTTAGACCAGCAAGAAGTATTCTGTGTTTTTGTATTCTCCTTGCACGGTATTTACAATACACTCCCTCAATATTTGTGGACTTAGTGAATAAATAAGTATTCCATAAATATTATATGTTTTGCTGGTCTGCTTTGTTATCTATGGGCTAACTTACCTATATTATTCTCATAGCATCTTTTCATAGTTCTGAAGAAATTACGTTTGCTAAAATGGTGATTGTAGAAAAACAATGTTTTATTCACTGATAGTTCCAAGTTTATAATATGCACATTGTGACATTGTCCCCAAACTCCAATTTATATCTGACTTCTTAGTACAAATCTCCCCTTAAATTTAAACATTTCACATTTGTGATATCTAAAAATAAACTCGACCCCCTATCATAAACACGTTTTTGCCTCATTAGACCCAATTCCCATTTGTAACAACTCAGTATTTCTATTTGTTTGGGCCAAAAACTTTTAAGTCCTTCTTGACTCAGTCTCTCTCATATACATTATTTCCTCTGTTTGAAAATCTTATTATTTTTAATAAATATAATTTCACAGCTAGATATAGATATAGATTCCAAATGCCATCACTGCCACTGGGACTTCTCCCACAAGATACCATCATCTCTGCCTCCCAGTTATCTGAGTCGCCCCGCTTTGCTGGTTTCCACCTTGTCCCCTATAATCTGTTCTGACCACTGCACCAGTGTCCCTGTGAGGCTTCTCGTCTGCTGGAGACCTCTACTGACTCCTGCCTGAGAGTGAGGGGCCATGTGGTCTCTCAGCCCATAAGGTCAAGGCCCTGCATGATTGGAGCCTCTCTTCTCTCTTCTCCTCCAATGACCTCTGCACTCTTTTCCTGCTACTTTCCTGTACTCTGTTCCAGCCACACTGGTCCACAGGGCCTTTGAGCAAGTTGATCCTTGTGCTTGGTCTGCTCCCTCTGTGTACAGTACAGCTGCAGAATGTTCTTCCTCACCTTAATTTTTAAATTTTTTTTATTTTTATTCATCCGTGTTTGTAGTACATAATGATTACATTCATCAGGGGGAGAAGTTGGTAGATGCACATGCCACATCTTAATTTTTTTATGCCCTTGTCTTGGTCTTTGAGCAAATGTCAGATTCTCAGTGAAGGAACCACTCTATTTAAAGGTATAACCTACCCCATGCCTCATCTCAGCAGTCCACATCCCCTTCATTGTGTTTCTTATTCTCCAACACTATTAGAACCTGTATCTAGATGTCCCTGCAAAGCATCATGTGGTTATAGGTGGGGCTTTTCAGAGATGGCTGGATCTAGAGAGTGTGATGCTGAGATTAAATGTGACACTGGGATCAAAGGTGTGTCATTACTAAATTAGTCCACTGATTGGTTTTGGCAAAGTTCTGGGTAGAATTAAGGGTGCCTTAAGGGCAGGTAGCCTGGATGGAATATTGGGGTCAAAAAGAGGGCCATTGCATTGCTTGCTGCTTGCTACTTCACTGCTTTGTTGCCTTCTGCCTGCCATGAACTGTTTGTCCTCTGCCGTGCCCCTCTGCCATACCACCCTACCTTAGAGCCAGCCCACTCTGGACTTAAACCTGTACAACCTGTGAGCTACAACAAACATTTCTTCCTTTAACTGTGGGTGTTGAGTATTTTCTCTCAGCAATGAGAAAAGTAACTAAGACAATCACTATTGCCTTCTAAAATACTGTTGGTTTTGTTTCTTGTCTGTCTCTCCCCACTAACAGGTAAAT